AAGTGCTAGGTTGAGAGATTTGTACTTATATTGGTGTTAGGGACTTGTCAGTGTTTTTTTTTTTTTTTTCTTTTGAGATGGAGTCTCACTCTGTTCCCCAGGCTGGAGTGCATTGGCACAATCTTGGCTTACTGTAACCTCTGCCACTGGGATTCAAGTGATCCTCCGGCCTCAGCCTCCCAGGTAGCTGGGATTACAGATATGTGCCACCACATCTGGCTAATATTTTTTTTTTAAGAGACGGGATTTCACCATATTGGCCAGGCTGGTCTTGAACTCCTGACCTTAGGTGATCCGCTCACCTCAGCCTCCCAAAGTGCTGGGATTACAGGCGTGAGGCACCACGCCCGGCCTGATTTTTGTATTTTTTTTGATAGAAAAGGGGTTTCACCATGTTGGCCAGGCTGGTCTCGAACTCCTCAGCCTCCCAAAGTGCTGGATTACAGGTGTGAGCCATCATGCCCGGCCTTTTTTTTTTGAGAGAGTCTTGCTCTGTCACCCAGGGTGAAGTGCAGCAGCACAATCTTGGCTCACTGCAACCTCCAGCTCCCTTGTTCAAGCTATTCTCCTGCCTCAGCTTCCCAAGTAGCTAGGACTATAGGTGTGTGCCACCATGCCCAGCTAATTTTTGTATTTTTTAGTAGAGACAGGGTTTCACTGTATATTGGCCAGGCTGGTCTGGAACTCCTGACCTCAGGTGATCTGCCTTGGCCTCCCAAAGTGCTGGGATTATAGGCATGAACCACCACGCCTGCCTGAGTTGTTAGTTTTTGAGCAGGAACTACCCTGGTCAGCACTGGGAGCCTATAGGAGTCTAGAGGATGGATTGGAGACAGAGCAACTGGGAGACTTTGCCACAGCTCAGGGAAGCCAATACAGAGCCTCAGCCCAGTTGGGGAAGGTTGGCGGGTATGATAAAGAACATAGGCCCAACCTCTGTGCAGCTCCTGGGGAGAGGCTTGCTTGGACATCTTGGGTGGGATATTTTAGGCGAGAGACTGACATTTAGTGCCTGAAACCCAGAGCAAGGAACACAAGAAGCTGGTGTTTGGCTTTGGCCAAACCCTAAATTCAGACGAGTTACATTTCAGTCAATCCTTTTAGAACTGCTGATCCTGAGCCCTCTTAAGCAACTCAAGATTCAGATAGACCAGCACGGCAAGGTGTTAGATATATCTGTGAACAGCAAAAGCACACTGGCATATTACAGTTGATTTCCAGCTCTTGTAACATTCATAGCTGAGTGGCAAATTAGTTTCTCAGAGCTTCTGTTTCCTCACTTGGTAAACTCTCACCCTGTTGAGTAAGTTGAATTAACAGAATAGGAAGTTGGAAGCTGTCAAACCCAGCCTAGAGCCCAGTGACCTAGAGGTTATCTTCTGAACTGAAACTGTTAGGAGGGAATCTGGTTGATATGAGTTTGGGGCCTAGAGAACACTTTTATACTTTTTTTAAAATTTAAGCATTAGTCAAGTATAATAGTGAGATGGGGAGAAAGATTAGAACAAGGAGTTTAAGCACTTAAAAAAAATCTCAATTCTACCCCTTCTCTGTCTGCAGCACCATCATCACATGTGTGGATTCTGGGATTCTCAGAGTATGGCATGACAATGACAAGGACGTATCCTCCGACCCAGTGAGGCTCCTCTGCCCTAATGGTTGGGGGAGGGGGCTGGGGTAGGAGCCTGATGATCATGTTGGGGAAGGGAGGATTAAGGACTCTGGAACGGACTCTTGTCTCCCTTCTTTTCAGCTCCTGGAAGTGAGAGTGGGCCCTGGGGTGTGTAGGATGCGCCAAGACCCAGCACACCCCCATGTAGTTGCCACAGGTGGGAAAGAGAATGCCTTGAAGATGTGGGACCTGCAGGGCTCTGAGGAACCTGTGTTCAGAGCCAAGAACGTGAGTGACAAGAGTGTGGAGGAGCTGGTCCTGAAGTTGAGGGAGGCGGAGGCTACTATGGGTCTGAGACTAGATGGGCTTTAGAGGGGAAAGGAGGGGCACACTGAGCCCCCCACAGCCCTGTCCCCATCTGCCCACCCCACCAGGTACGGAATGACTGGCTGGACCTGCGAGTTCCCATCTGGGACCAGGACATACAGTTTCTCCCAGGATCACAGAAGCTTGTCACCTGTACAGGGTACCATCAGGTTAGGTGTCACCTCATTCCTACCTTCTCCTGGGATAAAGCATCCTCTTGGGAGAAATGGCCCCCACAGTTTGGCATAGGTGCCCTTCTCACCATCCTGAGCTCAGAGGAGCAAGCGCTTCCCCATCTGCTCCAGCCATGCCACTGAGCCTGTGACCTTCCTTTATTGCATTCTAGGGTAGAGTTTCCTGAACTATGCCTGTTTTCCTCCCACCTGAAAGAGAGGAGAGTGGACCCCCTTCACAGGGTGCAGGTGTCAGAGGACATTGGGCTAGGTGTTAAGAGAACTGGGTTCTGGTCCTGATGCAGCCTCTCTGACTTACTTTGGGACCCAGGCCGGAGCCTCCCACCTCTGGCCTCAGCTCCTCAGCTTTACATGAAGGGCCCGAATGGGGAATCTTTATGGCTTGTCTCATTTGAGGTCTTGAGACATAGGCAGGGCTGGGTCACTGTATTTGTCCTGTTTCCTTTGCTTCTGCACATTGTAGTCTGATCTTGGTCATACGCCTCTGCTCAAAACACATATAAGGGCATTCTCTCTCCTCCTTCATTCAGGCTGACCTCTGCTTGAAATGTAGCACCCACTGCCTACTGGACTGACTTGTTTTCCATCCCTTCATTTCCCTAGATGGGAGTATGGGGGGTGGAATGCTCACACATTTCCAATGTGGGGGACCTCTCCTCTCAGCTCTGTTCATTCATGCTGCTAAGCAGCTCTTCCAACACCCCAATGCTCAAAGAAGAGGCATACATCTAAGATTAGAAAGTTTCTCTGACAGTGGGTCATAAATAAAGCAGTGTGCAGGGAGGGGGTGAGGATACAGAGATGCCAGAGGGTGGGTGCAGGGTGAGGATACTTTTATGATGCTTCAGCCTGCCTCTAGGTCCGTGTCTATGATCCAGCCTCCCCTCAGCGCCGGCCAGTCCTAGAGACCACCTATGGAGAGTACCCACTGACAGCCATGACCCTCACCCCTGGAGGCAAGTGAGTGTTTAGAGGGGAAGGCATGGGAGGGCGGGGCTTGGGAAGGGCTCCAGGAGGTTACTGCTGACCCTGCCTGCCTCTGGTCTCATTCTCAGCTCAGTGATTGTGGGAAACACTCATGGGCAGCTGGCAGAAATTGACCTTCGGCAAGGTGAGTGGACTAGGGTATGTTTGGGGAAAGGAAGGAGCAGGGATAAGGGTTAGGATTCCCTCTAAGGTGGTGCAGTGGGGCCACATGCCCGTGCCAAATTGCCTGGGTTCAAATCCTGGTTTCCCCAAAAGCTGTATCACCTTAAACTTTTTTTTTTTTTTTTTTTTTGAGATGGAGTCTTGCTTTGTAGCCCAGGCTGGAGTGCAGTGCAGTGGTGCAATCGCAGCTCACTGCAACCGCCACCTCCCTGATCCCGGTTCAAGTAATTCTCCTACCTCAGCCTCCCAAGTAGCTGGGATTACAGGCATGAGCCACCATGCCCAGCTAATTTTTTTTTGTATTTTTTAGTAGAGACAGGGTTTTACCATGTTGGCCAATCTGGTCTTGAACTCCTGACCTTGTGATCCACCCTCCTCTGCCTCCCAAAGTGCTGGGATTACAGGTGTGAGCCACCGCTCCTGGCCCAACCTTAAACTAATTATTTCAACTCCCTGTGCCTTGGTTTCCTCACCTTCGAAATGGAAATATTAGTAGACACTCCAGTCTCAGGGTTTTGTTGAAGATTAAGTGTTGAAATGGAAAGTGATTGAAACAGAAAACAATAAATGGTTATTGGCCAGCCAGTTATCCTGATGCTTTCCCTTCTTCTTCAGGGCGTCTACTGGGCTGTCTGAAGGGGCTGGCAGGCAGTGTCCGTGGGTTGCAGTGCCACCCTTCCAAACCTCTACTAGCCTCCTGTGGCTTGGACAGAGTCTTGAGGATACACAGGATCCAGAATCCACGGGGTCTGGAACATAAGGTAAGTCATCCCTCCTACCCCCAACTCATGGTCTTGTGGAGGCCCAGCCTCCTGTGCCCCCATTCATGTTTCTGTCTCAGCATGCCTGGCTCCTTAAGGCCTCTCATCTTTTGCAGGTTTATCTCAAGTCTCAATTGAACTGCCTCCTCCTGTCAGACAGGGACAACTGGGAGGTGAGCAGTTGGGTCAGGAATGTGGGAGCCAAGGGCATAGGTGTGAGGACCTCCCTATGGAGAGGAAAAGGAGGCAGCTGGAATGTAGACCTGGGACCCTCTGTTTACCTGTCTGGTCGCTTAATTTCTCCGAGAAGCATAAACAGTCAAAATCCTGAGAGGGTTATTGCCAAGAACATGGATGGGGCTGCTTTCTGGGAGTGGGGAATAAAGGTGGTGGTACCCAGAAGGATTATTTCTCAGCCAGAGTCTCCTTCCCTATGGGTTTGTCCCTGTGCCCGTGCCTTTT